ATGTATTTTGTTAATTAAAAGGTCTTCTTCAGGCCTTTATTGATGGAACCAAATATATGTAGGAGGGGAACAAAAATAGAAACAAATGGCAGTTATAATTAAACATCAAGAGAAACATTGAAGATGCAGGGACATTTAAATTTAAGTTATAAATATCTGTTATCTAATGTGTTTAGCCGTTCTTACCATTTTTATTATTGTTTTTAAACCTCCCGTAAATAGAAATATTTACAATAAAAATAGTATGCAATTTTATCATGCAACTCAAAGCTTCTTCATCATAATAATATATAAACAATATGAAATATATATATATATATATATATATATATATATATATATATATATATATATATAATTGTTAATATTTATTTCAAAATTACATTTCTATAAAGACTGCCATAGATCATAAGAAAAATGAACAGTGAAAAACATTAAAAGATTATGTCTGTTTATATTAGGTTGAATCATAAATAATTTCCATTTTTGGGAACAAATTGTAATGACTAATACATCATCTTGATTAAACTTTCTTCAAATATAATAAGTGATGTAACAGGTGATGAAATATACAATAATGTTCAATGCAAAAATCTAAAATAAAAAGGAAATTCTGAAACATAAAGTATTTCCATTTATTCATTTTTTTGACTAGTATTTTTGTTCCTTATTTTTTTTTAATCCCATTTCCAAGATAATATGAAGTCTTTTAGAGTAAATTACAAGAATTCAAAACAAAGTGGCTTCAAATGAGAACTGCACCTTCATTTTCAATCAAGAGAGTTCATTATGTCATGTATTATGTTGAATCATATATCATTTACACTTTATCAACTTTATCTTCCAAATACAATTTTATTTTTCAACTTTATCCTTTAGTAAGTAAAATTACATTTAATTCAGTTAGATATTCACCATTAATTGCAATGATTTCTTGCCTTTTATCAGGCAGCTCATCAATACCATTTGAGTAAAATTCTGAAAATTCTACAAAATGTTCTTGAATTCTATTTCCACCCCATTAAAAAACTTGTGTATCCATGTACTTTATGAAGGACTGGCTTCTCTCTTTGGGGTTTAGTTGTCAAAATTTTGGTAAGTATTCAATCTAGAACATTCTGATAAATAGTGTTATGTTGAGTCATAAATAATTTCCGTTTTTATTTATCAACTTTACTCTTCACTAAATAAAGTACGATTACATTTTATTCAACATATTTATTCACCATTATTTGCAATAAGAAAAATTGTGAAGGTTTTCATGTAAAATGTTTTCCACAAACTCTTGAATCTGGTTTTTATTAGAGAAAGTTTTCCTCATTAAGATGTTATGCGGTGATTAAAAATATGTAATAATTGGTTAGTGGAAGGTCAGGTGAATATTGTGGGTGGTGTATAACAGCCAAAATGAATTCCAAATCTTTTTCTGTGTTATTCTTGCTGTATGTGGTCTTGCATTGTCATTGAGGTGAACATCATTTCTTTTTATTGACAAATGCTGGGTAATTTTTTGTCAAACTTTTGTGGATATGTTGCAGCTGCTGGATATATACATGTACATTTAATGTTTCATAGTTTTTAAGAACTCCAAATGAATAATACACCAATGATCTGACCGCATGTACAATATTATTGTTCTTCTAGCGAGATAAGTTTTTTTTAGGTGGGGAGGGGTCAGTTGTGGACATTTATCTTTGTTAATCCACTGCTTTTGCATTGAACATTTCAAGCTTATCAATGAACTTCATGAATGCTCATCAAACATCTTGAAAGTTTTCTTTTACAAAAATTAAATTCATAAGACAAGGATGTCACTTCTCACCAGATTTACAGTGAGGCAATCCTAAGAGAACTAGAAGTCCTACCAGGATTTACTTATATTTTTATACTGGCTTGATTTTGCTGTCTCCAGTTCATAATTATTTCCTTTATCACCTTCTGTAGAAGTTCCTGTAGTTTGCTTTCAATGTCTGTTATCAACATTGTGTCATCTATATATCTTATGTTATATATTAAGAATTGGACAAGGTCCGACAATTTATTTATTAAAGACATTTTTTTTATGTTTAACGTTGTTATTTTTATAGATACAAGTATTTTAAGCAAATGCTCTGTTTATGATAAACAGTATTAAATAACATTTACCGGCCTGAATGTCTGAGAAATTTTCATAGAAAATATTCATTCTTTGACAGGATTCGAACCTGCATCCTATACGGAACCGTCATATACGCTGACATGCCTTACCGCTAGGCTACAAAAAGCGTTCGTGACAAGGTCGAATTTACTGCTTATAAACTCCAATTTTCCATGAATCTCGTACATTCATAACTGCTTAAAATATCGAATGTAAACAAATGACGTCATATATGTAATAAATAAATTGGACCTTTTGTCCGACAATTTATTTATTAAACGACATTTTTTTTTTTTTATCTATAAAATAACGTTATTATTTTTATAGATTCACAAAATTGGATTTTTAAGCAAATGTCTGTTTATGTATTTCTCGAACGCTTCTTTGTAGGCGGTAAATGTTATTTAATACTGTTTATCATTCCAGAGCATTTGCAGGTTCGAATCCTGTCAAAGAACGAATATTTTCTATGAAAATTTCTCTGACATTCAGGGCCGGTAAATGTTATTTAATACTGTTTATCATAAACAGAGCATTTGCTTAAAATACTTGTATCTATAAAAATAACAACGTTAAAAAAAAAAAAAAAAAAAAAAAAAAATGTCTTTAATAAATATCTTATGTTGTTAAAACTGTGGCTGCCATTAATAAATCCTGATAGGATTTCTAGTTCTTTTAGGATTTCTTCACTATAAAGGTTGAATAAATCTAGTGAGAATTGACATCCTTGTCTTCTGAATTTACTTTTTGTAAAAGAAAACTTTTATAATGTTTGATGTGCATTCATGAAGTTCTAGGAAGTGTTTTAACAGAGAATACTGAAATCCAAAAGTGCATTGGAATAGTGAAAGGTGCCCTCCAAAAGCTAAGCAAAGTATTAAGAAACAGGAAATTCTTGTTAGAAACAAATGAAAAGAGTACCAAAAAGTAATGCAATATCAGTCCTTCTATACAGCAGTGAATGCTGGATAATCCTCTCATGGATGAAGAAGAGACTTGAAGCAGAAGAAATATGGTTCTACAGAAGGATGCTGAGAATATCATGTGAGCAACGAGAATGTTTTAGGAAAATTGAAACAAAAGGGACACTTCTACTCAGTTGAAATTTCTCAGGCACATAATGAGGAAAGAGGGCTAGGAGAATTTGACACTGACAGGAGAAGGCAAGAGGGATAGAAGAAAGCAGCGAATAATATATCTAATGAGCTTGTGTTAATGGTTAGCAGAATGGGTATTAGAAGAGATAAGTATTACTTAGAGATGCCAAGGACAGGAACCCATGACCATCCATGTTATGAAGGGAGAATGAAGAAGAAGAGAATTCTACAGTCAGATCACACTGAAAACACTGGTTCATGTTCTATGTCAAAAATTTGGTAACATCAATCCTGTTCTATATTATGTAACAGACGATGCCATAATCTGAACATAATTCAGTTGATTCCCTTTCCATGCCAATAAGTGTTACGGTACATCAGGTGAACTTAAAGAGAAGATCAATAGTGTTTGTTGTGTAGCCACAAGAACCATTAATGCTATAAAAAATGTTTAAAAACAATTATTGCAACAATTATAATAGTACAACATTTTGTCTGAATAAAATAGCTAGCAAAAGAGTTTACTTTGTCATGTGATATATAAATTTGTTATAAACTGCAAACATTAATGTGTCCCTTTTGTAAAGTCATATATTGTAGTGGTTGATACTTAAATAGACACACAAATTGAAAATATACAACATTGTTTGTCTCTAAGGAAAACTATAGTGTCCACTCTTCACATATTTAAATTAGACAACTGCAATATTCTTTTATGTGGCATATCCATTCCAGATGTAGCAATCAAGGCTCTCCATAATTTCCTGTCCTTTGAATCTCTTATTAAATTTTGTCTTTTTGTTATCTCTCCTAAACCCTGTTCCATTATCCATTTACTCAAGTTTACTAGTTATGTTTTGCATTGTTTTCCTCTTTCTCTTGCCTTCAATCTATCCTGTGAGTATCCAATTTTCCAAGCCCTCTTTCCTCATTATGTGCTCTAGAAATTTCAACTGTCTCTTCCTGACAATAAGCATAAGTGTCCTTTTTGCTTCCGTTTTCTCTAAAAATGTTCTCCCCATGGTATTCTCATCATTTCCAAGTTGAATCATTTTATTTCAATTTTTTTATTTTAATTTTTTTTTTCCCATAATTTTTATTTTTTAAATATAATTTTAAAAACATGTTCCTAAGTTATTCCTTTTTTCCTTTTGATAAGCAAGCTTTTACTTTTGTTTAACTGATTCTAGACACCTGTAAGTCTTGGGAAACTAAATTCCCACCATACAGTCTAATATTAATTATGAAAATTAAAATAAAATACAATTGATAACTTCATTGCTGCTCACATGTTTGGTCCATATTATTTTCAAAATTTTCAATCATTTGAATCATTTTATTTCAATTTTTTTAATTTAATTTAAAATTTTTTTCCTATACTTTTTATTTTTTAATTATAATTTTAAAGTCACTTTTTTTCCTTTTGATAAGCAAGTTTTTATTTTGTTTAACTGATTTTAGGCATCTGTCAAAATTAAAATAAAATACAATATTAATTAGACATTTCTAAAAATATTCTAGCATCAATTAAAGATTTATAAAAATCCAATATTAAGTATAGGTTTTTACCTATAGCTCATTAATACCTACGGTCCTGAAAACTGGCACCATGGGTATGAAAGGGTTAAATAGAATTTTTCATTTTTAAATTCATTCATTTTCATTTAAATCTATTTAATTCATTTTTAAAATAGCAGATACACATTCATCATTAGATTTTTTCACAAGTCTTGCAAAATGAAACTTCTTGGAGATTGTCAACTTACCTCATAGCAAAAGTTGGAATATTTGCATTATACAAAACGAAGAAATGGTTTGGACCTGACTGAAGAGCATAACATTTATGAGTGTCACTTGTTATGTAGGTCTCAACAGGTGTGTGACTCAACTTGGACGGTTCTGAAAAAAATAGAGAAAGAATGTTTTCCATGTGTTTTTTTTTTCAATTTACAGACACCAAGGCTTTAATTTGAATGTTTGCAATTTTATTATACTGGCCCACAACATTAAAAGCAGGTCTTAATGGTATGGCTGTAGAGGTTGAACTTTCCCAACAAGAACAAATAATTTTTTTCATTTTTTTTCCTTATTACATGTAAGTAACTGATTGGCAGCTTGGAAAAATAACATCTAACATCAAAACTCATACAAATGACAAATATATCATTGAATTACGCCATGCAGAAAAAATTGCACCAATTGACATGAATTTGAAACTTGATGAACCTTAAACTTTTAGTGACCAGACAAGGTTGCAGATGTGAGTATGCAAAAATAATAATAAATTTAATAAGTTGTAAATTGTATTTTAACACAATGTATAAGCACATATTGTATTCCAGTTTTCCCACTGTATATTATTGATAAAATAATCAAAATTAAAAATAGTTTAGTATTAAAAAAATATAAAATATGTTCCACTAGTGGAATAATGAGCACTAAAATGTTAATAGAGACCAAAAAGGGGATGTCAGCACAATGAGGCAAAGTGGGATCACAAGTTATCTTCTGGTTGGTTGTCAATGTGTTAATCAAATCTGTGGTACTGAACAGGATAATTTATTGTAGCCCATTTTATTTCACCAATCAGTTAAGATCAGAAGCCATTATTTCTATTATACAGAGTTTTTTTTAATGTCCTGCTTTATTTAATCATGGAGCTAAGTCAATCACTTAGACTTGGTGGCTACCAAGAAGGTGTGATGGATTTACCTGATGGACAGAATCTGCCTTAATAAATAAGTAATACCAAGGAGCATGATATTTTGAATATCTTTTTTTTTTTATGTTGCCAGAGATTTTGTTTCTGCATTTTTCCATTCCTGTCATGTCCAAACTGAGAACACCTGTTACCACCAGTATTGTTGTGGTTGTCATGTTCAACATTCTATCAATTTCTACTTCTAGATTTTTATATTTGGATAATCTTTCTAGAATTTTCAGGTAGATGTTTCTTTTAGTGAGACAAGTTCTTTCCTTCATGTCCTCCACTATGATATAATGTTTCTGGCCTTAATTTCTTCATGGATTAGGATTGGCCTATCACAGAGAATAGTAGCTTCATTTTCTGTGACAATTGATGGCTCATCTTCATAGTATTTGTCTTTGGTGTTCTCATGCTTACAGATTGTCCAATGGAGGCATTCTGTTGCTCTGTTGTGCCTTTGTATGTTGTCAGCTTTGGTCAATTCAGGGCATCCAGAGACTAAATAGTCTATTGTTTTTTGTTTCTTGTTGTATATTCTTCATATTAGTTTGGTGTTTGTCTTTCCAGATTTTGTTTCAGTAGTAACTGGTCTTGATCAGCAGCCATAATAATAATAATAATAATAATAATAATAGTAATAATTGTGTGAATAATTGTGTTGACCCCAAATGCAGATTCTGTAATAAATATCCAGAAACAATTGACCATCTTGTATCAAGTTGCACAGTGTTAGAACCCACTGAATATAAAATTTGGCAAGACAGAATGGGACAATATCTGCACTAAAAAATATGCAACATTTACAGAAAGGAAACTGTAAGAAACTGGTATGAACATTACCCAGTCCTGGTTACAGAGATAGGACCTGTAACAAATTTATAGGAATTTACAATACACACAGACAGAAAAATCAAAGCTAATCGCCCAGATATCATAATCAAAGACCACAAAAAACAGAATGTGCTTACTTATTGACATAGCAGACCCTGCAGATTGTAATGTATCTTTGAAGATCTTCAAAAAACTATCAAATTACAAGGATCTTGAAGTAGAAATCTCAAAAATATGGCACATGAGGATATCAATAATTCCAATTGTAGTTGAAACCCTCAGATTGATTGTAAAAGGTTTTGATAGACTCATTGGAATGATTCTGGGTAGCCCATGCCTTAAAGAAATACAAAAAATTATTCTCACAAGTACAGATCACACATTATGAAGAGCTTTATCTATGTAAAATATGTGTGATCTTTGTTTTGTTTTTCAGTGGAAAATGTCACAAATCCATTTCTGACCCTAGGTTTCTGGTTGGGATCCAGAAGGAAATGTATATACAAAATCCAAGGAAATAATAATAATAGGATAGGTAAGAGAATCAACTGGAAAGCATGCTGTAAATTTGGATTAAATGACAGAGAGAAGTGATATGAATATCAGGTAGTGGTAGGGAGTGACAGTCATAAGATATTTGGAACTTCTATGTCCAGATAGACCATGTCATTCAAGTATAGAGACCCAAATTTATTGTTACAGATAAGGAGAGTAGCAATTATCAAATTATTGATTTTGCTGCCCAATATGACACAAGTGTGTATTCTTAAAAAAATGAAAAGATGGAAAAATACCAGGATATCTGATGAGGAAATCAAAGAAGCTATGAAATATGACTGCTGAAGTAATTCCTGTAGTAATAGGTGCATTGGGAACGCCACCTAGAAACTCTTTCAAAAGAGTGCTTAGGGAAAATTGGAATTGAGAACAAGATTGTAGACACCCCACTGACCAGAAAACTGCCATCATTTACTCTACAAGGATTCTCTGAAAGATTCTTGTTTTGTGAGGAGTGTTGTTGGCACCATTCCTAAAAAAAAACAGAATTTCTATTGACTACATCAATGTGAAGAAGAAAAAGAATTTTTTTCTTTGCTGGGTCATTACCTGAGAACTAGAATAAGTCAAGGTTTTAAATGCATTCCTCCTTCTCCTCATTATCATCATCATTATAGTATTATTATTATTAGTAGTAGTAGTAGTTGATAATATTCAAATTAAAATAACCATCTCCATTTTTAATCAAACAATGACAATGTTTCAAAAAAATATAAATTCTGTAGTTATTCTTAAGTCAGGCTAATAACCATAATTCACTTTTGACTGTGCCACCCACAGATTACATTTTTGTAAATTTCATTTTTGGTCTCATTCTTTGGAAATTTTATTAAACCCAAGTCCTGTTCAGTTAAATGGGTTTTAAGTTTAGCTGCATAATACTCATACAATATTTGTGTTTTGGCAAGGACCTTGTTGAATATGGCTGATAATAGTTATTTCCTTTTCTCATCATGTTTTCTACTGTCTTTCTAACGTTTGCATAACACTGAACATCACATGCTGTTCTCTATTTTTTACCATTGTTAGTTTTTCTTTCCCTTTTGTGTTTTTGCCTCAATGAATTATCACCAAAAGCTATTTGCTTCCATTGGACACAATTGAAAAGAAAATCAAAGGACATTTCTTTGAGATGAGGAGAAGAAATGTTATCTTTTTCATGAAAATTCTTTCACAACACATTATTTTTTGTTTCACTCTGTTTTTATTTTATTTTATTTTCTGTTGCACCCCTGGGTGAGCTTCATGGAGATTTTTGTCATCTCCGTAAAAGAAATGTGATGACTCTGCTTTTGACTTATAAAATGCAGAAATTTGGTTTTAAATTGTACAGTCTGATCCAGGAAAAGGTTTAAGAAATTAAAAATAAGAATAAAAAGGTGTAAAATACAAATATTTCCATAATACCTCTGTCACTTGCTTCTATGGTTGAAGCAAAATATGTCCCAATTGTATGCTTGTAAAATGAACGGAGAATCTCAAAGCGTTCTTTTTGAGGCAGGTTTCCTATCAAGACAAAAAAAAGAATAGTTCAATAAAAAAAAAAAAACATGTTCAAAAAATGCCAAAAAAAAAATTAAAAAAATCTCCCAGGCAGTTACTATAACAGAAAAAGAGAAAAAAAAAGCCCAAACAAAAGTTAAAACCAAACTTATTTTAATTAAATGTAATGGCAAATGTTCTTTTTTTTAAATATCTCTTTTTCCACTGCTTTTTAAATTTAACTTTTAAAAATCTCTCCTGGACTCGCTTGGTGCTCACATTCAGGCATTCTTTGAAGTTAGCACATCTCTGAAGCAAAATTTTTGGTATTTGCCACTCGCAACTGAAATCTTGAAAACAAAACTTTTACAACCTTTCTTTACTGTTTTCTTTCAATAAAAAAAAAACATATGATACATTAGGAACACCTTATAACAATTATAAATAAAGGTAATATTTTCATTTTATTTGAACAAAACTGTGGACAGCATTAATCAATAACAAAAAGAAGCACGAAACAAATGTAAAAAAGTCAATGATGCCGTATTGTAAAAGATTAAAACTCTACTTAATATTCAGTCTTGTAACAGGTGATTTTATGCAGACATCTTTTATTTATGAATAATAACAATAAATAATGCAAGAAGAAAAATAATAAAAATGGATAAAGATATGCTTGGATGTTGACGACCACACTCCACAACTTCCTATCCTTTGTAACACTTAGCAATGTTCCACTTCCCCACCCCCATATTCCTTGTTCTGTTATCCATTTATTTACACAAGCTTATTAGGTAGATTACTCAATGTTTCCTTCTGCCCATCTTTGCATTCAGTATGTCCTGTGAGTATTAAATTCTTCAAGCCCTCTTTCCTCATTATATGTCCCAGAAATTATAATGGCCTCTTTCTGATTCAGTATAATTGTCCTTTTTATTATCATTTTCCTTAAAAATTCCTCATGGCTCATATTCACCATCCATGGTATTCCCAGCATCCTTTGATAGAACATCATCTCTGTTGATTCAAGTCAACCATTTATCTATGAGGAAATTGTCCTGCATTCACTGCCATATAGGAGGATTGATATCACGTAGCAGTTCATTACACTTTTCTTGGTTTCTAATGAAATTTTTTTGCTTTTTTAATACTTTTCTTAGCTTTTGGAAGACATCATTCACTATCCTGATGAGTCTTCAGATTTCAGGGTAACATTTTCTGTCATCTGTTAAAAAACTTCTCAGGCAAACACTTTGAGTCCAGGAGAGATTTATTTATTTTACTTTTGGTCTACTTAGCATATTGAGCACTTTTTGTTTTACCTTATTACTCACTGGGGACTTTTTTCTTTGTACCAGTAATTTAAGGTACTGGATGATTTCTTTCACCCTGTTTGGAGGTTTCTGGTGCTTTCTTTTTTTTTCCATTCTTCGTCAGATGCCAGTTTATTGGAAAATTGTTCTATCCAGGTTTTTCATCCACTGAATTTAAATAGGTTTACATTATATATCATTCTTCTAAACCACATTTCTTTGGTGTTGACAAAGACAACTGTGTAACATATTCAGGTCTTCTTGTAAATCATATGAATCCCTTTGTGCTTGGCCATGTATTCCAGTAGGGATAGTCTTTTCCACTCTCTATACATTGGGTGACATGAAACTGGTTTCAGGGACACTTTACTAACTTCCAGATATTCAATTAGCCCCCAGACTACCAAAACTAAACTAATTACCTTACTGTACTAATGTGTCCTTAGAGGTATATCTATACAATGACTTCAGAACTTGACAGACTCTATGCTTTTTCGAGTAGCCACCGCTATTCTGGCAAAAGAAGGAACTACATGATATCAGATAGCTGTCTCTAATTTTTTGGCAGATCAGCATATATATATATATATATATATATATATATATATTTGGTTGGATTGGTGTGAGTTTGTGACCCTGGGTTTCATGCTTTTGTGATCGTCAGACAACAAAAGTGTGAAACCTAGGTCACAAAACACATCAATCCAACCAAATATGTTAGCTCTATCTCTGATTTTGAGCGCTTTCTAATAAGTACCGTGCATATAATATATAAATAATAATATATATATATATATATATATATATATATATATATATATACACACTTTTCAAACACACACACACACACACATATATATATATATATATATATATATATATATATATATATAGTGAGCTTCTCCTGATGTTTAATAAGTCATTTCATGTTGGGTGAAATTTGGTGAGATTGTGTATAGTTTTAAAGAAGACAAAATGTCTAGAGATAGCCAGTAGTTTGGAGCAAATGCAAGTTCAAAACAGATTTTAGCATCATTTGACTGGAAATGACCTTATGGTCTAAAGGCATTTCAATACAAGCATGCTAAAATTTAAATGAATTTTACTGATTGTGGATTGCTGTCTTTTGATTTAAAGAGCCTCCAAAATTTTTAATCATTATTTTTCCAGTTGGAAAGTAGAGTTAAAATCTATTCCACCACAACAGCATGTGGACTGTTAACGGCATAAATAAACCATTAGCTATTTCCCATATGCATACAGTTTCAGCAAGTTCTTTTACAAGTTTCCATGTAGTATCAAACAATTTAGTCAACACCAAGAAAAATTCACCAGAAAGCTTAACAGGCATTTACTGTCTATTCCATTTAATAAAACAAGTTTAAACCAAGGTGTGCCATCTAAATATAGTGTGTGTATATGTGTACAACTGTTTATTTAAAACTAGCAGTAGAGCCCGGCGTTGCCCGGGGATGTAACAGTACGAGATAGATCAAGTATCGACCATCATAAAGACTGAAAAATAAAATTGACAAAGATTATTGTTTAAGGTTGACGGACATGCATAGTTTTATTTTTTTGTTTTGTTTTTTTTTTTACAAATTGGTCAAACCCAAACTCAAATAAAAACATTGTTTTCAATCGTTATGAGTCTACCGATTAAATAGAATTTTATTATAAACAATTGACTTGTAAATGGAATTTTTAAAGCATTCTGAATGAAAAAATAAAGAAAAAAAAAAGTGTGCAAGACAATAAGAAACACTACCTGCCAAAAAAAAAAAAATGAAGTTTTGTTGAAATCGGTTGAAAAATGTAGGAAATCTGATCCCATATATAAACGAACACAGACACACAAACAACCAGGGTTTTATAATAAGTATAACTCAATATGAGTTGTCCCCTTTCACCCCCGATGACACTTAATCGTGTTTTCGAATTGATTTCATGCAAAAACAATTGTGTTTTTTCAATTTTTGGTGCTGTCAGAACCACCGCAAGGTAATTTTATGTAGTTCTGTGAAGTTTTGTTGAAATCAGTTGAAAAATGTAGGAAATCCGATCCAATATATAAACGTACAGACACACACACACACAACCTGGGTTTTATAATAAGTATGATGATTAAAACGTATTCAAGCTTAGAGCCATATCACATGGAAACACTAGTCTGGTTCCTATTTGATCACCAAAGTTAAGCAACATTGAGTACCTAGATGGGTAACTACTTAGGAATACCAGGTGCTGTAAGCTTGGATGTGTGTGTGATATAATGGATAATAGCTTTCAATAATTAATCAGAGAGCTGAGTTCTAATTCTAGTTAGGTTCATTATATTCACTTACACACAAATACCCTTGGGACTCTACGTCTTCTCCTCTCCAGCTACGGGTTAATTAGTAAGAGTTGTATCACAAAATCATTATTATCTTACAATCTAAAAATATTTTCTGGCTTTAAATAACCTTCAAAATGTTGATAAGCCATGGAAAACAAATCAATCAATAAAATGATTCCAGTAAATTGAGTATAGAATGGGCTGCGCTGGAAGTAGCTTCACCCAACACCACAAATTGCTACAAAACCCAAACTTTAACCTAAAAACTAGCCATGTTATTAAATAGCCTTATCAGATTGAGATTTTCATATGGATAGCATGCATGGCACAAAACCTGTCCAGAAATATCTAAACTGTCAGCTGTAAACAATCACTTTCTCAGATCTATGAGTAAAAATAGCTTTAAGCGAGTGAAGCTTGTGGTTCTTGGTGAGGACCACAATTCTTCTAACCTTGTGGACTTGGCATTACAGAATCACAATGAAGAACTGTACCAGATAATAGAAATCAGTTCACTTGAGGACTTTCAACAGCAGCAACAGCTAAAATATATATATCACATGTCACTGAAAAAGTAAATAATGATATAATTAAGATGTTGATATTACACACTACTTCAAATAAAAGCTTAGAAAGGAATCACCCTTCAATACTAGAAAGAGCTATAACAGCTACTGGACTTGAGAAACTGTTGTAGCATACCTAAAGATGATAATGGGTATGTCCCCATTCACATAAATACAGTAGTAAATACTGTATGTTGGTCTGCAGTTAGAGATTCATTGTGGAATTCACTCATCTCACTTCTAGCAGTTGACTACTTCTTCTACGCACCACTGGTGAATCTTATATGTGTTGTTCTTGTCTTAAATATTATCATGCATTACCAACATTTGTGAGATTATTCAATTCAGTAACTTTCCCTGGGTTACAACAGAAACCTATTTTCCTGAAAATTTGTTTTAAGAGAAAGATTTAATAAATTTCAGCCAACAATAGTACTGGCTGCTTGGTCAATGAATACCAAAAGTTTCCTCATAAGGAAATCACTAATATTACCATTCTTATTTTTTTATATGCTGTGTCACTTCATGACATGGCTCTCCACTATTTCCCGTCCTTTGTAGCTTTTAATAAATTATGTCCTTGTGTTAACTCTTCTAATGTCTGTTCTGCTATTCATTTACACAGCCATTACCATTCTATGAGTGCACAACTGTTTTTTTCTGATCAATGATTAAAAATAGTTTCAAGTAAATGAATCTGTTAGGTCATAAAGAAGACAATCCTTCATCAGACCCTATAGAGACTGGTGCTACAAGATCACAAAGAAAAGAGCTATATTAAATAACAGAATCCACATCAGTTGAAGA